AAAAAAACATGCAAAATAAAAAACTAATTTGAATAAAATGAACTTGATGAATTCTACTACATAGAGCATGCAAGATAGAGAACTATTTTAACTATGGGGTCATCTTTGTCTTCTCCAACGTCGATCTGAAACAGATACGGTGGTAATAGATTAATAAAGAGCAATTAAAATTAATTGTATCAAGTTTCTCACCTTAATTAACTGCAGACTGCAACTGTTTGCAGGTGTGAAGAGCACACCAAATCCAGGAGGAACACCATAGCAGAAATTTTGTTGTACCATTTGAAATCAAATAGATCCTGAGTTGCTCCCACTAATCGGTCAAAAATCAACTGCATGGTATTGCGAAGTGAAGATGAAAATATCAAATCAGGAACAGAGTCCTGAAAAGACCACACCCATGTAGACGGTTGTTCGAGTAGCGCCAAACTTAACTTATTTGTTGGACAATCTGCAGAAAGGGCAAAAAAAATTATTAATTACACTATTAATTAAGGAAGGAACTAAACACTCCTAAAAATAAACAACAAAAAGCAAGTAAAATAGCTGAATTATAATAAAATGGCGACAACTGTCATTTCACACCATGATCATAGACCCTGCATAACATTAATAAAGACAAACAATCATAGATGCACGGTGTCAATTTATGATGTGCACAATAGATATTTAAAGAAACGAAATACCGTAGATACACGTAAAGATTAACTGAAACTGTGCACAATAGATAATTGGTAAGACAGATAACCCATAAGATCAATATTGAGCAACTAACATAAATGGCATGCATTCTCACCTTAATTAACTGCAGAAAGTAGCTTTCTAAGGTCCACACGTAGAATGAACAAGCCAAATCCAGGAGGAATACCACTGCAGACAAGTTGTTGTTTTAGTCGTTTCCAAAGTAATTTTCAAATGTCTCTCCCTCTCAGGTTCAAAATTATGTTGCAAGGGTAAGACGTCAAAATCATCGACTCTTTCAGTACCATCAGAATTAGCTGCAATTTCTCTTCACTTGGACAATCTATAGAAACGCGCAAGAAAACGTGGTTAATTACAACTTTTAAAGCGAATAAATCAGTAATATTTTAATGTGGCGATGTGGCGTTAAAGTTAAAAGCTAACTTTCGCACTGATGGAAAGGCCAGTTCCACATTTCGCTTCTGCCACTTTTAAATGGTTATTTAAAAGTTGTCTGATGAAAGTAAGTTACAAATACCTAAGAAATTGAAGTTTCTGGGACCTGAATTAATATTTTAAATTGATATAGTTTACTTACCAGTCCATTCGTCATAAATCCTTCCCTTAGCAATGGTACCCTGTGCTCTCCCTGTAGAAAAAAGGCACTTTTGTGCTTCTTCTTAGGACAGCTACTTTATGGATCGAATGAACACTGACACAACCAAGTCACTGTAAATTAATGCTATCCAGGTTTTTTTTAATGTTAATACGAAAGGGTATAAATTCACCAATTATGGCATGTATGCTCACCGTAATAGAAGATCCTCCAAAATGAAACGAACACCATGGCAGACAACTCGCTTTTTCAGTTGCATCAATATGAACACTCTTGCATTCTTATTTATCATCAATCTGTAAATATAGAAAAGAAAAACGAATGAACTAAATTATTAAACAATTAAAACATGAAATACAATGAAAATACGCACCGAAAAGCAAATAAAATTGCAAAATTTTAAAAATGGCGACGTACCGTCGTTTTTAATACAAAATGGCAAAATGGACAAGATCGTGGAACAAAGCAATATCTATAAAATTCATACATAATTGTCAATTTATGCTGCGGATATGTAGATGAAGGAAAAACCTATAGAGCGTAGATGAAAAAGCTAAAATCTTTAATCGATGTTCACTTTGAATCTTTGTTCTCTATGAACTCTCATGATAGAGTCAACAAATGTAGTGGGGCTATAAGCGCTAATTTGATATTTTCAGAAAAAATTTACATGAACTAAAATTTTGTAATACATACAATTCTTATTCTCCTTCTTCTAATATTAAAGTCAAAATATACACAAGGTTTCTATTACAGTTTATAAAAGAAAATTTAAAATAAATGCTCTGTCGCTTGTATTACGGTAACTTTTACACTATTGCATAAATTAACGTCATGGCAGACACGACAAAATTTAAAGTAATGAACCATCGACGATTAGTAATGGACATGCCTTGACGGTCAGAATTGTGGTACAACAAAAGAAAGGGATGGAACGAAGTTTCGGACAATATCCATCTCTCTCACGATAGTGCGTAAGCCTGTCTTGAGGGAGATAGCACTAGTCCGAAACCATACGCCGTCTCCCTCACTATTCGAGTCAAGAAATTATTACGACATACGGCTAAGGCACGTCTATTAATATATGTCGATGTAATGAACCATGTAGAACTTTGCTTATGCAACTTTACACACATTAGTGTAAATAGTATTGCATATGAGTATTTCCATATTTTCTTTAAATATTGTCTAAGTAGCATCACCTGTTTGTGTATATTTTTTATCCAAAAACTCCGAAACTTTTCTCTTTAATGCATTAATAATATTATTATCATTAAAGAAAAGGCTGTTAGTACTTGTATTGCAAGTAGTATCTTGTATTACAACTGGGTTCTCATTATTCTTGTTACAACTTTCTATATTTAAAGGTAAGGAAGTGATTGAAGAAAGTCCAGAAGTAGTTGTAGTTGTGGTGTTATCTTGTCCACTGTTACGTATTTTACTTGTCTTTTTGGTTTCTATTGAACAAATACTTTTTGTTAATTTAGTTCTTTTTTGGCAGTTTCTAGCAGAATCAGGACATCTGTGTTTATCACTTATTTGATTATATTCCATATTCAAATCTTCCCCACACAGGTTGCAATACTGTTGTACAATTATTACATCATTTTCATTAAGATTGTTACTATTACTCAAAACTAATGAAGAATTTTGATCATATTTTTCTGAAGTTTTATTTGTTGAAATTTTTGAAGATGCAACATCCAATATACCCAAACAAATAACAGAATCTGTATCATCTAAAACATTAACAGAATCCTGTCCTTTTGGTAATTGGTTTGTAGTAAGTCTTTGTTCAATTTTTGTAGTTTCAAAGTAATTTTTGTTTGCCTTCATGGGCATGTTTTTAGTTTTTATTTTACCAAAACTTTTCTTTTTATTCTTTATATTTCTATTGAGTAAAAAGTTACTAGAAATTCCTGTTACTAGTGTGTCAGTGCTCTTACAAATGCTCTTCAGTCGTTCGGAAGTAGCCACACTTATATATTCTTCATGGTAATCATTAACAAAACGAATTCTAGAACTTATGACTCCATTATGAAATATAAATGATCCCGTAGATTTTCTTACATCAACCGTCCTTTTAATATTAAGCTGTTTGTAGGTGTTTGAAACTTGTACTTGATTAGCTAATGAGGTATTTCTATCGTATTCGTCATTATCAACTGATAAAACATTGTCACAGGACATAGTACTAAAAATTGTAATCAATCAGTTACACGTAAATATTAATACAATACCTTTTACATNTTCTTTAAATATTATATATTATACTGCTTACTTTAGAGACAGTTTTGATAAGTCAAGTGTTGCCCAGCATATTTTTAAAACAAACCACCCTATAGGCCCTAAATGTTTGAAATTAGTCAAAGAAGACTCTTGCAAATCCGAACTTGACGCTTGGGATAGTTTATACATTAAAAAGAACAAATATAATCTTATGAATTCAGATTTTGATCCAAATCCTATGATTTTGAGTAAACTTAAAACATTTAAAAAAATGAAGTTAGGTAGCCTCCAGGAAAAGTGGAGCACTCTATATAATAGAAAATAATTTTAGTATATGAAGATACTTATATGGTAGCACTTTTGTAAGAATTTTTTTTCGATATCTTTAGCTATAAAGCAGTTATTGAAGAATCCCGCTTACTTGAGACACCCTGTGTATAATATAGCATGTATGCTCACCTTAATTAACTACAAGAGCCTGCAAGATGAATTAGATGTAGAAGGTAACGTTCCATGGTTTACAATTGTGGAACGCACACCAAATTCAGAAAGTACCAGTGCAGATATCCCAAGTCGTTATCGTTAAGGTCAAAATTAACTTTCCAATCCCCCTCATTTGTTGACCAATCTGTAGAAATGAACAAGAAAAATAATTAACTAGTTTTAATTAATAATATTTTAAAAGTGGCTGCTAAAATAATAAACACACAACTGTTACGATATTCAATTATCACATTTCTTCTGACTCTCAAATTAAAGTCAAAATAAAAGTATAGATAGTGATTACATTGTCGTTAAAAAAAAAAATAAAGGGTCTATCCCTTGTATTAAGCTAACATTCACACATTCTGCATCTGACATTTCTGGAACGATCTTCAAAATCTGTCTATTGGGAGTAAGTTACAAATGTTTAAGAAACTGAGTTTTCTAGTATTTCTACTACTTTCTACTACTTTTAATTGATACTGTTACTTACCAATTCATTTCATAATTTCGTAAATCCTTTCTTTAGCAATAAAACACTGCATCCGTTACCAATGCAAAAAAGGCACCTTCACGCTTTCCTTAGGACTTCAGTGGGGTGAAAGAGGACTCACACACCCAATGTTTCATAATACAAGGCATCTAAAGTTTTTACTCTTTGAACTCTGGAACTCTGTTAACTTCTAGGTACTGTACCATTGATGTTGACAATTCATTTCCACAAATGAACAAGTAATGCCTTTGTAGTGGAAAAAAGGCACTTTTAGAATCGCAGTGTATGCCACCTGGAGTTTATGTAAAATCCTGTGGAATAATTTGTTACATTAAAGACTACAATTTTAAGCCATATTTTGAAATAATCATACAATGAACTATTGATATTAATTTTAGGTCTTTACTATTAAGTTACATTTACTATAAATATAATAAATAATATTGCAGAATTTTCCAAGTGGTCAATAATCATAAAAAAAATGAAAATGTTCAAATGTTAACTATTTAGTCTACATAGCAAAGAACTTCAAAATGTTCAGCAATACAGAAGATTTTATTATAATAGAAAGCAAATGAAAATTTTATAGGTTTATAAGATATTAGTAAACAATATCTACCCCCTAATTTTAGTGAAGGTACAAATCTTGCATTCAATTTCGGGTTTGTTTCCCCAGGAGCATATACGTATTTATTTAGAAACATCAACATTTGAAATTATTTCTATTGCCCTTTATCATAAACATATAATTTGTTACTTTCTAAAATGATAGTAGAAACAATACAAAAAATTTGGAAATCATTTGTAAATCATTTTTTAACGACAAATGATCATAAATAAAGTTTTCTAATATTTATGCTTATACAGATATATATATTTTAGATATATGTAGAACCATGCACATTAGTAATTAATTTTTATACATATGCAAGCTATATAAAAAAGTTGGTTTATCCATAATAAATGCCTGTTATATGACAGGTTGTTGTTATTTCACAACCAGAAAAAATGTGCATACAAAATATATTTTTCAAAATAATAAAAACAGTAAAGTAAAATTGGTGTTTATCATAAATGTTACTCTCTGGCTTTAAAGTCTTCAAATACAGATCATTTATTTTTCAGTGCAAACTTTTTTAAAATTCAAAAGTTATTTTTTAATTCGTTTTGGTTCTCTTTTAAATTACCATATATAAACCCCTTACTTCATTCGCCTAAATGCAATAATACTGTTTAAACGTCTTAAATGGTAAATTCCTTAAGATATTTTTTCAACCAGTCAACAAAACAGTATAATTAAACAGTATCCTTGGTAAATAACGTGTATAATACTAACCTTACTTTAATTAACTACAAGATCCTCCAAGATCAACCTAGTCTAGGTCCAAGATAAAAAGATAAAAGCGGAACGCAATAGGCGACTTGCTTCTTCAATATCCTCAAAATGAACACTATTCCACTCTTATTTATCATTGTCACTTTGTAACAATAGAGAATAAAAACAAATAAATTGCACTATTAATTAATTAAAACTTGAAATAAAACAAATATAGGCACCGATTAGTATCAAAAATTAGAGAATTTTAAAAATGGCGATTTGATATGCCATAGCCATAGACATGCATAAAATTCATAGATTCATAAATAATTATGCTGCGGATATAGATAAAAGAAGAAACTATAGATGAAAAAACAAATCACCAAGTTTTTATTGACGCCCTTCGTGTAGGCAACACACAATATTGCAAAGTATTCTTGTCTTCAGTGCGATACTTAAATATTTACTAACATGTTTTAGCCATATAATTGTATATTGTATCCACTCACCACCACTTAATTACTTTTTTGTAGTGCCCCACATCAACTTTAATACATTTAATACATATACTTTTAGCTTGTTTAATGAGAGACAATTTAATTTATTAAGAAACACAAATGTTTTTAAATTAAGGTTTGAAAGTGCATTACTTTGTACTATCTTCCCCAATGATATATTAAGATAGTTTCAACTGAAACCAGTCAGAAAAGGGTTAAATGTTCTTAATCGATTACGCAATTACACCGATGTTTTGCCTTTCGATTAAAGGTTTTTTCAAGGTAGAAGTAAGTAGAACTAAGTAATCTACCTTGAAGGCGAAACGTCGCTGAAATTACATTATTAATTAATAAACAACATTTCACCCCTTTCTGACTCCTGTCAATTGAAAATATTTGAGTATTACAAGCACATTGTGCGACATTACTTATCGTTAAAACTTTAATTACATTGCATTTGTATGAAAAGTGTTACGGTAAATGTGGAGATGCATTTTAACTAGGCTCTCTTGCACACTGACCTAATTTTTGAAACATAATGTAGGCCTCTACGTGATTTTAGTCTAGTAATAACACATTACATCACCCACATTGTGTTAAATCTACTTTTTCGTTTTACAACAGATAAACTTTTTCCTTTTACTTTCTCTTGTCTCCTGTATCGACTTAATTCTGTTTATAAATAATTAATATAAATTATATTATCACATAAGTGCAATAATATGTATAAAGACGTATGCGGGGATTACTATATTTGTAATTATTTAATAATTATAGTCATAAGAAATCTGTCGTTTTTTTCTCTTAAATTTTTTTTTACTAAGTACACATATTTATTCATATACTTATCTAAACATAACAACATTTTTATGTACCTAAGTAATAAAAAATTTGTTAACATTGACCTATTTGTGAAAGTATTATATATATTTTGCTACGCGATTTAGAACATATACAATCCTAGAAATTAGGATAAGCACCTACATAAATCAATCATTCTAAATCTGAGATTTCGTCATAACTTTCTCTATTTTCTTATTAGCTGACTCGCTGACTGTAAGATAAAATGAATACTAGGAATATTGCATTTTGTAGTTTATGTAAAAGTTAATTAAAAAAGCGATCAGTTTGTAGACTATATTCGGTTTTTTTTTATAATTTTCATTTTTATTTAAGAGAAAGTAAAAAGGATTTTTTTCTTTTAGTACTTACCTATATCATACAGAAAGTAAAGTGAATTACTTAAATGTTTTACCAATTGCGCAACATTAGTACCTGTCTAATCTGTGAGTCTAATCCAAAGTACATACATAAGCACATAATATGTATCAACTATTTCTTTATCAGGTTGCATCATTTCATAAAACTCCCCAAAAAGTCAAAATCGATATTTTTTGAAGATTTGTAGATCGAGTGCCAGATGAATTTCCTTTATTCCCTATCTTTTGTCAAAGTTTCCCATTTATTACCACAACTTTTTAATGAAATTTCAATAGTCGAAGTGCTTTTAAACAAAGGTACAAAACGGAGGGCCTTTTTTATTTTTACAGTTATTCGCAACAATTAAAACAAAAAATTGTTTTAGTTGGTCAAATCTTTGTTTCTTTATATTTGCTACTTAAAATTATCTTACACGTACAAATTACCTAGATTTAACATAAAAATCCCCACATCCCATTACTTAGCCCTGACAATACAGTACGACATCTCACAATCTAATACTAGTCTAGGATCTAATACGACTCGGGAAATACCAAATATGTCGTGATTAATACCAGTGGCGTAACAGCAAAGGCCAATAGACATGCGTTCACGGTGTAAAGTGAACTAGCCAAGTAATTAAAACATTGTTTGAGTGTACAATACTTGTGAATATATATAATATATGTGTGAATTGGGATAAATAAAACTTAGGAGCTTCTTGTAACAATTGTTTATTGTTATTCTTATATCGTAATTATTTTTTTTGTCATTTTCGTTAACCTGCTTTCGTAGCAGGTTTGACGATTTAATTCGCATAAAACAGCGATCTTGTTTTTGTTATAATAATAACACAAATAATATATTATTTATGTGGGGATTACATACATTTGTATCCACAAACGTCTCAAAAAATCACCAAAAAAGTCACAAAATTCTTTCCACTACAAAATTCACTTATACATGTAAATGTAAATTAATTAAAATACATTTTTTTATAAAGCAAGTATCGATTTTGTCTTTTAGTATTCATGTGATGCTCAATGGCAGCGAAACGTCTTCTTATCGATAACAATATTTATCTGTACATTTAACTGTAACAATTACAATTAGACAAACCATATCACTGGGAACATTTTTCATATTTTTTCCATTATTAAGGTTTTCGTCCCATCACGTAGTTCTCTCTTCAGGATACGGGTGGCGACAGGTGAATCACCGGTTGTGGATAAAAATTCAACGAGCGTTCGTAAAAGTCCACCAGGGCTTTTTCTGATGGTGATAACGGTGGGTCTTCGTCCTCTTTATGTTGTAGTTCATCCTCATCTCTGACGACGATGGCACAGAAGAATTCGGAACCTGTTTTTACCGAATTCTTCATACCGCACATTTGGGCCAAACTTTTGCTGTTGTCCACCTGAAACAAGAGAAAAACAATACGTCAGTACAAACAGGGACTAAATTCTATTTTCTTATTGACCCTTATAAATTGTTTGCTTACAAAATAAAATTTATGTATTACAATTTCTTTACGATCAAACTACTTACCCAATTATAAAAGTTATAATAAAATTGAAAGAACTAGACTTCGCGTATGATCGATATTATATATACTCATCAACGAGAAATATTACTTTGATTAGCTGCGTCGAGTGCAGCTCACTATTCCTTTTAAATTCGCAGCTTTATACTAACAGTTGGGTACAGAGGGAAGCGGTGCGAGTTTCCAAAATAGTACGCAGGGATGTATCATACTACTTAGAACACATTAATAATTTTTGGCAATTAAGTTAAAAATTAAACTTTGATTATTTCTTTTTTCTCTTTTCCAAAATTCTTTATTTTTTCTATTTTTAGTTGTTAAGTTAAATATTACGATTAGCCGGGTCCTTTCTTATTGACCTTTATAAATTGTTTGCTTACAAAATAAAATTTATCTATTACAATTTCTTTACGATCAAACTACTTACCCAATTATTAAAGTTATAATAAAATTGAAAGAACTAGATTTCGCGTATGATCGATATTATATGCACTCATCAACGAGAAATATTACTTTGATTAGCTGCGTCGAGTGCAGCTCACTATTCCGTTTAAATTCGCAACTTTATACTAACAGTTGGGTACAGAGGGAAGCGGTGCGAGTACGCAGGGATGTATCATACTACTTAGAACATATTAATAATTTTTGGCAATTAAGTTAAAAATTAAACTTTGATTATTTCTTTTTTCTCTTTTCCAAAATTCTTTATTTTTTCTATTTTTAGTTGTTAAGTTAGATATTAAGATTAGCCGGGTCCCACACACTGCGTTTACCTCTGTAAGGTTTACCATGTGATTACATTTGTAAATAACTGATAATAAATAAACAATAAGTTGTCAAAATCGTAAATATGAAACCGATTTTTATTGTTTGTTGAGTAAAATAAAAAATGATAATAGAAAATTACCTGGATAACTGGGATGTAATTTTCATAGCAAAAAGCTTGTAATAAGACGATTTGCATGTGTGTTGCGGAATCTCCAGGTCTGACGCTTGGCAAAAGGCACAAAATCACATCGTCAGGATTTTGTTCCAATCGCGATACGGTCGCGGATAATCCGCAAATTAACCGCTGGTCGGCCTTGGCCTTGTTAAGGACACCCTGTATCTCGCCAGACATGTTCGAACTGAAACAAGTGGAATCACACATTATAGTCAATTCACCGTGACAAAGGTCATCAAACACAACACTTGAAATTAGTTAATATCTTGCTTACGTCAAAAAAAAGGCAATATTGTTCTCGTCATTATGCAATATTTAAATAATATTGTTGTAAGCGAAACTGTTTACAAAAAAGTTTCCGTATTCGCACACAGATAACACTATATTGAATTAGCGATAAAATGTTAATTTTTCACGCCTACAATTCAAATTGTACCTGCTTATAATAAGTGTGTTTGTTTTATCGGTTATCTTAATTACCGATATCTAATTACGATTATACATACATACATACATATTATAGGTATGTTAGTAAGTACTTTCGTCAATCTGTTACGTTTTACACAATATTATGTTTAAATTGTTGAAGTTCTACATCTAAATCAACTTTTGATTTTATGAAATTTATGTTTATATATCCAATTTGCAATTTTACAGGTATATTATTAAAAGATGTACACACCTCTCACTGTCTTTCTTTGCTTTCTTATTTTCTCCCTTATAGATGCACATATTCCACATTAGCTGAATGCACTTGATAAACAAATCCTTAATAAGGAACCACTTAATATTTAATTATGTAACTGGTTGTAATTCAAAATATAGTCGGAAAGCACAATTATACAGCACGCCGAACCGCCTACTCGCAAAACTGTTTTCTTGATCCTTTTTCTTATTCAAAAAGAAAAACAATAACACTTAATCACTGCGCTCGCTTTGATTAAATTACAATATCATAAGTTCCACACGCGAGTTTGAGTATTTCTATGACGCAATTTAGATTGTTTCGACTTTTATACATTTAGGAAAAAGGTGAGATGTATGCAACAGTGTAAGGGATAGAAGGAGATCGGTACATTGACGCGCGCGACTGTCCGTATTTTCTTGATGGATATTTTACGCGGAAAATCCGGTACTTGGAATCCCAGCGATAACGTGTTTCCACAACTGCCAAGTTCCAACCTGATCGGTTTTTAACTGCCGCAATTCCTGCTATTATACTAATAATACTGTTGGGAATTTTGTACTACCTTATCCAGTACAATTACATTATGAAAGTTATTACTTATGAAAGAAGAGAGAGGAAACCACGTTCGTGACCTACATAACTTTGGTTAGCAGTAGGATTCGTCGGAATTCATGTTTTTTTATTCATGAACTACATTTTTATATATCTATATCTACAAGGAATACTTTAACACTCAAGTAAAAGACTGATTATGTTACAACTTAGGTCAGCTTTTCTATCACATTTCGTTTTGTCGTCGTTTAATAAAAATTGTGTCTATTTCACATGCAGTTTGATAGGCTACCATGTTCTTTAATGGAAATTGTAAAAGATTGATAAGCGTAAAGCTTCGTTTACACGGTTACACGGTTTGCGTTCCGGTATTCCGGTACGCTATACGCGACATCCGATAAACAACGTTCCACTTCCACTTCCACTCGAACATACCTCAATATTATAAAATAACATACTAAGTACTTGTAAATCTCTTAATTTTTTGTAATATATACACTTTTTACATGCATTTTTGTCGGTTAGACGTTTTCAAAATGAACACGTAGAGATCTCAACACCGCGGGCCCTACAATTTCCGTAAGCGTATAATTTTACAATACTTTTTTGCATTAATTGCATTAAAAAGTTTGTTGTCTATCCAAATTCCATCCTCTTTTCTTGGATTAGATTTGAGAAGGACTGACAAGTTTCCTTTGACATTTATAGTTAGAATCTAACTGTTAGATGATGTCGGCTCGCCGGATGTAGACCGTGTAAACCTGGCCTTAATGAGAAAACGTTCAATTATTGAAAAGTAGATCTAAACTGAAATTTTAATCGAAGGAAAGTTTTGTTACTATTTGAGATAATTAAGATCGTTGTCAAAAGCATAAAAAACTGTGAAACAGAAAGGCTAATTAAGTTTCATAAAATCGCGATTTTCTCACAAAACGCAAAATTCAGAATTTTCGTGTTAATTCTAGTTTCAGCGGTTTATATGTTTATAAATTAAAAACTTAAAAACCTGTTTATAAAAAATGTCGTCTGTAATTCATTTGTATTTTATCAATTAAATAACACATTTGTAATATTTGAAGGAAAAACTTCTGAAAATTATTCATTCACTAATCCGTAAGAATTAGGAAACGTTTTTTGTGCAAAACTATTTTCTTATAAGAACGATAGGCTGGTACTATTCGAATTACCATTTGCAAACGTAGGAAAACCCATTACCTGTACATTATAAAGCTACATTGTTTTCCAATATACTTCCGTTTCTAATAATTTATCGTACATTACAATAAACCAATGTTGTGTCTGTAAATTGTGTGAAAGTATGTACGAATTTTTTTTTACCATCTGCTATCTGTTATTTGTTATTTTCTAGACATTGTGGATTATTTTTTCGCATATTTGTACAAGTTTATTACTGAAAAACAGGATCAAACATGTTACAAACAACAAATCGAATCAATTTTTAAGTAGCTACCTGATTTAATCACAAATAATTATCAGTATTGTTGTTACAATTATGATTCAAAGAAAAAATATTAAGCACTTTTATTGTTATTCGTCGTTATCATTTCTCAGATTAAAATTTCCAATATCTACCTCACCCGTGTAATATTAAAAATTTTTATGTAACACAAAATAAAGGGTCCTTTCTTATTGACCTTTATAAATTGTTTGCTTACAAAATAAAATTTATCTATTACAATTTCTTTACGATCAAACTACTTACCCAATTATTAAAGTTATAATAAAATTGAAAGAACTAGACTTCGCGTATGATCGATATTATATATACTCATCAACGAGAAATATTACTTCGATTAGCTGCGTCGAGTGCAGCTCACTATTCCGTTTAAATTCGCAACTTTATACTAACAGTTGGGTACAGAGGGAAGCGGTGCGAGTACGCAGGGATGTATCATACTACTTAGAACATATTAATAATTTTTGGCAATTAAGTTAAAAATTAAACTTTGATTATTTCTTTTTTCTCTTTTCCAAAATTCTTTATTTTTTCTATTTTTAGTTGTTAAGTTAGATATTAAGATTAGCCGGGTCCCACACACTGCGTTTACCTCTGTAAGGTTTACCATGTGATTACATTTGTAAATAACTGATAATAAATAAACAATAAGTTGTCAAAATCGTAAATATGAAACCGATTTTTATTGTTTGTTGAGTAAAATAAAAAATGATAATAGAAAATTACCTGGATAACTGGGATGTAATTTTCATAGCAAAAAGCTTGTAATAAGACGATTTGCATGTGTGTTGCGGAATCTCCAGGTNGTTTAGCGTCACTCAAATAAAGATAAAGTTATTATAATAAAAATTAAGAAATCAATTCTTTGCTTTCGATTGTAATAGACTGGCGCCGCAATTTTAAACTCTAAATATAAACCTCCTTATTGAGTGCATAATTTTTGGTTTTCGGCTAATAATTTTTAGTGAGCAGTCAATAATTTTTGCTAGTTAGGTATTACTTTGGAGAAATTAACAACAAGTAGCAGGGCTTTCGTACTTTGGATAGCGGATTTTAACCCATGTTGATTTCTGCAACACTAGTTGAACGAGTTTGTTAATAAGTACTAACTAACTACTTATCATTATTCATATTTCTTTCGTCATTTCTGTTCAAAATACATTTGTAATAGATCACCTACAACTAAGGTTAAAGTATTTTCAAAAACAAAAACCGCGTCACAACTTATGACGTTTGTGATTCTACTTGTTAATTGTTAATAACATTTTAAATCAAAATTTATCGTGTTGGAATAGTTTTAAATAAATGCCTGCATATATTTTATTTGTTCCTTATTATTTTTTTGTTGTTTACAATTCTTAATGTGTTATTCAAAAACAAAATTACGATGATTGTTTTTTATTTTTCAATCATTGACTTTATTCTTACTATGATATTTCGGAAAAAACATCAGGAAGATACTTGATAAATTATTATCATTCGTTACGTATAAAATTATTAATGGTCTTTATTTAGAAATCAATTGACAAAAATAGACTTACTTATAGGAAGGTATTCTGATTCCTACAAAGCACTTATCACAATTATCACAAGCGACCGATAAGATAAAATTAATAGAATAATATCTACCTAGTGTGACAATAATAGGTAAGTATGTATTGTTAATTTATATTCTTTTAATTATATTTATTTAAGAGCAACAGGCACTTATAGAGTTAGGGATGCAACGTAGAGAAGTAAATATTAGGAAGGGAGTCAGGCAGGGATGCACACTGTCACAGACAGTACAACTGTAGGGATAGATGTGCAAGGGCAAAAGATTAGTATGCTTAGATTTGCAGATGATATAGCAGTATTAGCATCTAGCAAGGAGGACCTAGAGATAGCTTTAAATAAAATGGAAGCGGTACTGACAGATCAGTACTGTATGAAAATAAATAAAAGTAAAACTAAAATACTG